AAATGACTTGTACTAATTGGATGTGACATGTTGGGAAATGAATTGTCCTAATTGGATGTGACATGTAGGGAAATGAATTGTACTAATTGGATGAAATGAAATGTACTAATTGGATGTGACATGTTGGGAAATGAATTGTCCTACTTGGATGAAATGAAATGTACTAATTGGATGTGACATGTTGGGAAATGAATTGTCCTACTTGGATGAAATGACTTGTACTAATTGGATGTGACATGTTGGGAAATGAATTGTCCTACTTGGATGAAATGAAATGTACTAATTGGATGTGACATGTTGGGAAATGAATTGTCCTACTTGGATGAAATGAAATGTACTAATTGGATGTGACATGTTGGGAAATGAATTGTCCTACTTGGATGAAATGAAATGTACTAATTGGATGTGACATGTTGGGAAATGAATTGTCCTACTTGGATGAAATGAAATGTACTAATTGGATGTGACATGTTGGGAAATGAATTGTCCTACTTGGATGTAACATGTTGGGAAATGAATTGTCCTACTTGGATGAAATGAAATGTACTAATTGGATGTGACATGTTGGGAAATGAATTGTCCTACTTGGATGAAATGACTTGTACTAATTGGATGTGACATGTTGGGAAATGAATTGTCCTACTTGGATGAAATGAAATGTACTAATTGGATGTGACATGTTGGGAAATGAATTGTCCTACTTGGATGAAATGAAATGTACTAATTGGATGTGACATGTTGGGAAATGAATTGTCCTACTTGGATGAAATGAAATGTACTAATTGGATGTGACATGTTGGGAAATGAATTGTCCTACTTGGATGAAATGAAATGTACTAATTGGATGTGACATGTTGGGAAATGAATTGTCCTACTTGGATGAAATGAAATGTACTAATTGGATGTGACATGTTGGGAAATGAATTGTCCTACTTGGATGAAATGAAATGTACTAATTGGATGTGACATGTTGGGAAATGACTTGTACTAATTGGATATGACATATTGGGAAATAACTTGTACTAATTGGATGTGACATGTTGGGAAATGACTTGCGTTTGGAAAGAATCCAAAGTACCTCCATCAAAGATGAAATGAAGGAAGTTGTGAATAAGGGGAGACAGCCTTTAAAATACAACAAATTACCAGGTAGTTATAAAATATTTCTTTGGCGGCAGATGTTGCCAAGCAAGTTACTGCCATCAATCACAAAGAGATGTCAGTAAGACAAGACTACCTGTGTATGTTTGATAAGGCCAAGTCTCTATACCCGAATTCCAATTCTAGATTTGTTATTGTCATCAAGTTAAGGGCAATATTTACCCTATCACTGATTCAATACTTCATTTCATTGCAGGCACCATGTTCCCAATCAGAGATTATATGTGGTCATAACATCATGGGCAATCCATATTTCCAATCATATACTGATGTTTTGTCATCACATTGAGGGCAATATATTCCTGGTCATTGACTTGTGCTGTCATCACATAACGGGCAATATATTCCCGATCATTGATTTGTGTTGTCATCACATTGTGGGCAATAAATTCCCAATCATTGACTTGTGCTGTCATCACATTGTGGGCAATACATTCCCGATCATTGACTTGTGTTGTCATCACATTGTGGGCAATATATTCCCGATCATTGACTTGTGCTGTCATCACATTGTGGGCAATACATTCCCGATCATTGACTTGTGTTGTCATCACATTGTGGGCAATATATTCCCGATCATTGACTTGTGTTGTCATCACATTGTGGGCAATATATTCCAAATAATTGACTTGTGTTGTCATCACATTGTGGGCAATATATTCCCGATCATTGACTTTTGTTGTCATCACATTGTGGGCAATATATTCCAATTCATTGACTTGTGTTGTCATCACATTGTGGGCAATATATTCCCGATCATTGACTTGTGTCATTTCATTGTGGGCAATATGTCCAAAATAGTTAACTTGTGTTGTCATCACATTGTGGGCAATATATTCCCAATCACTGACTTGTGTTGTCATCACATTGTGGGCAATAATATTCCCGATCACTAACTTGTGTCATCACATTGCGGGCAATATTTTTTACCGATCATTGACTTGTGTTGTCATCACATTGCGGGCAATATATTACCGATGATTGACTTGTGTTGTCATCATGTTGTGGGCAATATATTCTTGATCATTGACTTGTGTCATTTCACTGTGGGCAATATATTCCAAATATTTGACTTGTGTTGTCATCAACTTGTGGGCAATATATTCCCGATCATTGACTTGTGTTGTCATCACATTGTGGGCAATAATATTCCCGATCACTAACTTGTGTCATCACATTGCAGGCAATATATTCCCGATCATTGACTTGTGTCATCACATTGTGGGCAATATATTCCAATTCATTGACTTGTGTTGTCATCACATTGTGGGCAATATATTCCCGATCATTGACTTGTGTCATTTCATTGTGGGCAATATGTCCAAAATAGTTAACTTGTGTTGTCATCACATTGTGGGCAATATATTCCCAATCATTGTTAACTCTAAATTTGACCAAAAAATAATAATATGTAAATATAATAATTGATATGTAACAAAGGTAATTATATATTTCAATGCCCCAGCTAGAAATTGAACCCGAAACCCCTGGCTCATTCGTCTGACGCCCAACCGATGGCGCTAAAAAGAAGTTCTCTCTAGGTGAGCGGTATATTGCGGCTAGTAGATTACCAGGGTTACATACTCCCCCTCCAGGAAATAACTTGTCCTCAAGTTTCCAGGAGTAACAGCAATGCTGGTGGGCATGGCTAAGTACTATTCCCGGGTTCCTACATGGGCGCCAATGTGACAGAGGTCATTATTTATTTCAATGCCTCTGCTAGGAATCGAACCCGGAACCCCTGGCTTACTAGTCTGATGCTAGTTCTCTCTAGCTGAGCGGTATATTGTGGCTAGTATTTACCGGGGTTACAATACATTTGTATATAAATAGTGCACAAAGGACCTCTCTGCCTGTAAGGGTCATATAACAAACAAATAAACAAATAGATAAAAAGATAAACAGAAATCAAAAGTATATCATGGCACAATCTTCCAACGGGTACAAATCTGAGGGAGTCTCAATTTTATAATTTTTTTTTGTCAAGAATACATAGGCATGCCATCAATAGTTTGAGTATCATGGACTATCTTAGAAGTAACTCCTATATAGGTTCTGGAAATTCCTTTCAACTAAAGGATACATCTAATATGCTTAATGCAATTTACTACTTGCAATAAAAAGTGCTTTCCATAAAAAAACCTTTTGTTGCTCATTTGATATTTAATAATCAAATTACTGTATATATACATGTATATATATGTTTTACCATACATGGTGGTGCCAACTTTTTTTATTGTCCCTACCAATGTATTCTAATCAAAAAAATTGAAAATCATTCACACCATGTATTAGATCTAACTAAATATCTTACTGGTTTTTCAGTCTTGAGAAGTTGGGAACACTGTATATATGTATATCTATCTGTGTTGACAACATATACAGACAACAGAAATATGAAAATGATGAATTAAAACATTAAACATAACAAAAAATAAGGAAACTAAGGGTTGTCATATGTAGATACAAAAAAAAATTGAAATTTTTGATGGATGTCCCTTGTACAGACCACAAAAATATGGAATTACTGGGTTACCACAAACTACAAATACGAGGCCCAAAGGGCCTGCAATGCACACCTGGTTAATTTAGTTATTCAGATATTTGATAAAGAATTTCAAATATGACAAATAATATCTGATTATTGCTAGTGGGTCCTGCTCTTGTGGTCAGATTCACTATTCATATAAATTGCTTCAGACCAAACTTTAACAATATCCTTGTATGGATGAGGATTTTTAAGAACATACATTTCCCCAATTTGGTCCCCCCCCCCCACAACTTTACCCCTCCAAGTGTATGGAGCCACCATGCAATATTTATAGAGAACTTAGTCCCCTTTACCAAAGATTACTTAACATCAAATTTGGTCAATATCCATTTATTCCTAACAGAGGTGTAAGATTTTAAAGAACTTGTTGCATTTCCCATTTTGGGCACAACCACAATTAGGCCCCGCTCCTCTCACCAAAGGGGGTCGCAATCAATTGTTTATACTCAACTGATACCGCTTCACCCACGAATACTTCAGAGCAACAGGAGGAGTAGGATTTTAAGGAGTTTGTTCTATTTCCCATATTGGACCCCACCCTCCCACCCCAGGAGGCCAAAACCCACCATTTATACAAAATTGATCCCCACTTCACTCATAAAGCTTCAGACTAAATGTGGGCAAAATCAAATCATTACTACAGGAGGAGTAGAATTCTAAAAAATTTGCTCTAATACCCCTATTGGATCCCGCCCCTTCATCCCAGGGAGCCGAGACCCACCACTTATAAAAATTTGCTACCCCTTCTCCCAACAATGCCTCAGACTAAATCTGGGCAAAATCATTCATACTGGAGCAGTAGGATTTTAAAATTTCCCTTTATGAACCTGTCCCAATATATACATAATATATGTCTCCCATGTCCCCACTTTTCCATGTCATCAGTGTGAAACAAGATATAACAAATATATACCTAGACAGAAATAAGCTCAGTTTACAGCTGAATAACAAACATGGCACAATTAATTGACAAAGTTCTATTAACAGTGAAATTCATGATAAAAAATATGTGTTTGAATGACTATACATTGTTATAAGAATAATCATTTCAAGTCTAGTTATAATTATGACAGCTTATGTTTTTAGAGAAAAATAGAATCAAAAAGCTAAACTCAAAAATTTTACTGTAGGTGAAAATCTTAAATGTGGGATGATTATATCTATATATATTTCTGGTTTGGTTTACTATCATGACAGCTTCAACATTTTGAGAGAAATAAACGACAACACAAAAGCTAAATGGAAATCTTAAACATGGCACAATTAATTAACTGTTAATCAACTGTTAACTATATGTGAAAATCTTCATCAAAAACTTGTACTAGGATGATCTTGTAAAAGCAGATTTTGTGATGGTAGCACTAACTTAATTGACAGGACACTAATGATGATATTGCCACTGCTGTTGCTGATGTAGGTCAACTAATGCCAAGCTATATCTAGTTAGTGACTCAGCAGCATGGGAGACAAAAAGAGTATAACTTAACAATTTCTTTATCCATCACAATGTACTAATTATCCATCTATTGCAATGATTTGACTAACTTAGATATTTGGGATTGATAAAGATGTAATTTTCATTCCTTAAAATCAACACCAGTGAAAAATTTCATCTAAACACAGGTAGCTTCAGATACTACCACAAACGTTTACACAAAGAGTGATGTGTGGATTAATCTAAGGGTCACCTTCAGTTCTTTTGACTCAAGTTTTTGACATATTTATTGAAGAACACAACCCTCATCCTTTTTCTTCTGCTGTGGTGTCATTTCAGACTGTCTTACAAATGCTCTTGTCTGACGTTGCCTTTCAAGCTGGTCTTCCAAAAGATACTGGTTAAACTGTCCTTCTGTCATCCTCTTATCATAGACACTGCTCACTGGTTCGTTGTCATGATAACCTGAACCAATTGGATAAGACAAAGGATGTGATTGGTGAGATGTTGAATCTATCATGCTAGTTTCAGAAGGGTAAATAATTTGCTGATGTGTTGCTGTTGCCCCTTGTGTGGCCCTGGAAACAGGGGAAACTGGTTCTGTTGCCCCTTGTGTGGCCCTGGAAGCAGAGGACACATGTGTTGTTGCCCCTTGTGTGGCCCTAGAAACAGGGGAAACTGGTGCTGTTGCCCCTTGTGTGGCCCTGGAAGCAGAGGACACATGTGTTGTTGCCCCTGGTGTGGCGCTAGAGACAGAAGAGGCTTGTGTTGTTGCCCTTGGTGTGACCATAGAAACTGGGTAGTGTTGTGATACAGTTTTCTGACTTCGTTGCTGAACAGGAACGGATATATTTACAGCTGTGGATGCCTGTGCTGTTGCAGGTCTTGTAGCCAGATAAGGTGCATTTTTTTCCCTGTAAGCTATCAAGTATTCTGGATATGACTGGCTTCTCTCAAATATGATATACATACTGGGTTTGGCTTCATTATCTACACATGAGTCATATAACTTGTGGGTCTGGCCAGGTCTCGGCGGAGGTCGGCGATAAGTTCGATCACCCCGTGCATAGAGCCCTACCAAAACCTTCGCCTGGAACATGTACCTTTCACTGCTTTTACCAGGCTGTGTGTATGAGTGGCTGTATTTGCTAGTTTCTGCAAAATAGGATCCTTCACCATACATTGTAGCATTCTTTCCACTTGTACGAAAGTCAAAGTTGTTTGTGCAGATACCTTGGCATGTTTTCATTGAGTCTGTGCCATGGAATAGAGCCTTTTCATTTACATCATGACTTTGACCTTCTAAATTGATTTCCTTTTTCATATTCTTCTTTTTCCTGTTGAAAAAAAAATTAATCAAAACCTCCTATAAAGTCTTCTTGACATTTTCTTACATTCTCTGTTAAACTATACATTTTATTTAAATGTCATAGATGGCATTTAATCATGAAACACGGATCATTTAAGCCTCAAATTCTGTGAATGTGTAAATGAACTTTGAACTCTTGACCCAAAGCAGCGACCCAATTTTTAGGTATCTGTATTGGATCCAATACATTTATTCTGTTTCATGTACATGTATACCTCTTATGGCAGAAACACAATCACAGAGCAGTAGGTCATTTTTACCCATTCATGAACATGACTTCTGTTTCCCTTTTCACTCTGCCAACTACGATAAAAATAGAAAGAGATGACCATGGGCCTTATTGGTCATCTGTCTATAAAGACCCAACAATGCTATAAAAGCTTAAGGGAACAAATTTGTGAAACGATTCCAACAATTCTAAATTTAATTAATAAGGGTGAAAGTAAAAAACAAGATACCTATAGGGCCTGTATTCTTCACCTAGATAGTTCAGCTTACACTAGAAATATTTCTTTTCGTAATTGTATTGTTACATTTGGTCAAAAAGATGAAGCATTTTGAATTATAAATCACATACTGTACAAAAACGCTGACCCTTGATTTAAGTGAATTTGAGTCCCTTCACCAAAGAATACTTGAAGCAAAATTTGGAAAAAATACTTTCATTGAAACAGAAGGTCGATTTTCAAGACTTCCAAGGGGCCTCTTCCTTCAGCACTAAGGCCTTTATACCAAATTTGGGCATGATCCAGGCATTGCTTCTGAAGATTTTAACAAATTTGCTCCATTTCCTCTATTGGACACTACTCCTCCTGCCTCATGAGGCCAACACCAATGTTTACACAGACATGTTTATCTTTCACCAAAAGATGCTTCAGACCAAATTTGCACAGAATCTTGGCATTCATGCAATAGAAGATGCTTTGTAAAGAATTTGGTCTATTTCACATTTTGGTCCCAGCTCCTCCAAACCCAGGGGGCAGAGGCCCATCATTTTCACAAAATTGTATCCCCTTCACCCAAGGAAGGAAGCTTTAAACCAAATTGGGACATAATTTAGGTGTTGAATTTGTTATTTCCCCTAAAGAGCCCCACCCCTTAGGCCCCAAGGGGTCCAAGACCCATCATTTATATAAAACTTATTTCCCATCCTCCAGGGATGCTTCTGACCAAATCTAGTCAAAATCTACTGAGCTGTTCATGCATATAGTAGCCATTTATTTGAAAAACTGTCAGACAGATGCTGAATACAGGTGCAGTCCACTAGACAACAAAAACAGATGCTGTGTCATAGAATAAGTACAATGGTCCTTCAGACCAGGTTATATAAAAATAATTTTTAAGATGACAATCATATTGGATTTATGCTAAAAAAAAAAAAAAAAAAACCAACACTTTGTGAGTGGAACTCAAGAAGTTTAAAACAGTTTTTTTAAGATGACATCAATGGTACTCATACTAAAATTTCAACTAATGAAAAAAGATAACATTTAGCCAGGACCATCTCAGAGTAATTTTATATTGAGCCAAATCCTACAGCCTAAACTTTAAAGTTAAAGTTTAAAATATGAAAAGTGCACAGCAAATGCCATCGATGAAACAATATTAGTCATCCTGACCCTTTGGATCTGATAACCCGGAAAAAATCTATATAGTTTGAAAAAGTGAAGCCCATTATGGTGAAATGAACACCCCTCCCCACCCCCATCCCCTCTAGTAGAGCTAAAGTGAAGTCGCTTTACACTCTGCTTTCAATTGATGTTTCTTCACTACTAAATATTTCATCAGTTTACTTAATTATGTTCCACCATACATAATAAAACAAAACAAGAGATCCCAGAAAGATCTTGGTGCCCACCATTGTTTAATCTTTATATGCTCATTGAAATTTGGATCTTTTTCCTTCCTTTCTCTTCTCTTCTCTGTTTATGCTCTTAATGATAAGACATTTGATTATTCCTTTGCAGAAATAGTGATGATAATCTTTACTTGCAAAATCCAAAATGGTCATCTGGAAGCCATTTTGTTTCTTCTGACCAGTTGCAAATCAAACAGGCATAAGAAGAGACCAAAGGGAACATACATATGAAATTTGAGATAGTTCCATTCAGTATTTCTTATGAAAGAGGCATCATAAATGAGAAATCCAAGATGGCTGCCTGTTTGCCATTTTGTTGTCCTGAACAGTTAGGGACCAATAGGAACCTATACATGAAATTTGAAAAAGATCAATGCAGTATTTCTCAAGAAATAACAATAACAAACCTTCAAAGTTAAAATCCAAGATGGTCACCTTTCATCCATTTTGTTTTTCTGATCAATCCAAAAAACTGAATGGGCACAACTGGGGACAATGGGGAACCTTCATAGGAAATATGATAGATATCCATCCAGTATTCCTGTCAAAATCCAAGATGGCCACCTTTCGGCCTTTTTTTATTTTTCTGATAGCCATAACAAACTTCATTGAAAAATTCCAAGATGGTTACCTGTTAGCCATTTCGTAATTCTGATCACTTCCAAAATTAAATGGGCACAACTAGGGACCAAGGGGAACCTATATATGAAATCTGAGAACGATCCATCCAGCACTTCTCAAGAATTAGCAATAACAATTTTTTTTACTGACGAATGGACAAACCACAGATAAAGGACACAAGGCAATTTGAATAGCAAGAAGGTGGGCTTAAAAATAACAAGGGTGGGGAATTTTAAAATGGTAAAATAAAGCATTACACTATTTTCTTACTAAATAACTTTGTTCACCATTTTTATTTATCGTCCTGATTTATTCATATAAACACATAAATAACAAAATATATGTGTGGAGTGGGGAAATTTGGGTGGGGCAGAGACCCCCCCCCCCCCACCCATCCTGCTCCATTCTAAATTTTCCCCCATCCAAACATATTTTTTGTTGATTATGTGTTTAAATGAATGAATGGGGATAATTAGAAAATAAATTGGTGAAAAAAAACAATGATTAGTAAGAAAGAGGACTATGATAAAGGAAAACTATCAAAAATTAAGTGAAGAAACATCATTTGGTAACATAAAGTGGCTTCACCATTATGGTATTTCGACCCCAGTTCATTTCCCAATGCTTCTCAATACCATGCTACAAAGGGGCAATGATAATGTCATTAATATTGCTCACAAACGGTGGAAGTCACAGCTACCCAGTTAATAAAGTTCCCTGTTAAGCCAAAATCAAAGGTAAAAAGAGTCTTAATCAAATGACTGCACTTAAAAACAAAAATTAGGAAAGTTTGGGCCATCTGTGAATTGGTTACAGATTCTTCAAAGTAACTTTTTGCAATGGTTATTAGCTAGCAAAGTTGATGTGAATACAATAAAAGTACTTATAACACAAGTAGGTACGACAGTACTAGTATGCTTCACACTTTTCATCATTTGTCTGATGAAGGTGACCATACAATCATCAAAACGTTACATTCAAAATTTCTACTGGTTGTGTCATAAAACCTTTATTCTATTGACATCAACAACCTGAAGAAAATGCTCCAAAATTTTAAAAAAAGCATTGATGTGACTTACATATCATAGGCTTGATAAAGATGCCAGTTCTGTACTCTGTAGATGTACTGAATTTCATGTTTGCTGTTGTCCATCGTCTCAAAAAACTTGTCACGAAGTGTTTTGAACTCTGGTTCAACTCGTTCCAATTCCACAAGTTCAAAATCACTGGATAAATCCCATGGAACAAAGTGGGAGGGCTTACTGATTGGGTCAGTAATCTCTAGGTTGTTTGGGCTGTAAACAATGAAAGTATTCATTACTGCAAAGAATAAACATTGATTAATTCAAATACTGACTTAAAGTAAAGGTCATTACCAGACATGGGCTTACTGTTAAACACGTAATATGTTAACAAAAGATTGAAAATATTCCATGTGTACTTCACACTGGACATGAAACTTTTTTGGATTTCAGAAAAAGGTGCATTCATACCAGCACAAATATTACTCCATACTAACATACTGTACTCACAAATTTTTAGTTTGAATATCCACTCTGGAAACAAATAAAGGCCGACGATGAAGATCCCGTTTTTTCATTGTATCAAGGTTTACTTGTCGAAATGTTCGAAAGTCTATCCTGTACTTGAACTTGTAATTCTCCCGAGTGAACAAGTATGTTGACTGTCCAAACTTGTATTTCCTTTCAAGAGTTTTTTCAAAATTATCCTGAAAAGAAATTTGAGACATGAAAACACTATTTTTTACCATAGTGAGTGCGAAAAAGGGGGAAATGTGCCCGATATCATTCATAAAGTTAAGGCTTTACCCATAAAAAATTGAAAAACACTTAAACTACCTACAAAGTCGGTGGTGATGATAATGGCAGGCATTTTGACAGATCAGGAAAGTGATGCACATGTCAAAATAGTCATTGGGATTAAATATGTTGTAATTATACAAACGACATAATAAATTTCATCATAATTTAACAATAATAACATGTTGACTGATCACAAGTTTATATAGTTTTCATGGTACACTGTAATTGATAAAAAAATTAAAAAGTCATTTGTTCTCAGCCTTGTAATTTCATTGTACATGCAGTTAAAGTTTCATTGCATTCTATCTTATAGTTGGCAAGAAATGTGTCCAAAACCACTGTGGCAAAAGAAACAATTAGAAATAAGAACATAATAACGATAAGGAACAGAGAGAAACCATAAACAAGAGGCCCATAGGCCTTAACCGTCATCTGACATAAAATACAAGTTTCAAATTTTGAACTTGAGAAGAAGTCGAAAATGTGTTTTCAAGATGGCAGCCATGTTATATTTTGGACCAACCCAAAATTAACAAACTTTGGTCAGGATCATGTCACGATCATTTCAGGTAAGTTTCAGCTCAATGAGACATGTAGAACTTGTGAAGAAGTTGAAAATGTTTATGACGGATGACGCTGGACAAAAGGCGGTCGCAATCAGTCATCAGACCGTTCAGACCTAAAAACCTATCTGTAACCTAAACTTTGTTTGAAAGGCATGGATATATCATTTGGCAGATAATATGTTAAGAGACACCCAAGTATTTGAAAAATGTATGCAGGAAAAAATGTCAGTCACTAAGTGTCACTGATACCATGATGAAAACACATGTTAAAGTGATCTTCTTAAAGTATGTCGTCCCAACATCCCAACAACTTACGGTGTCAAATGGCTGCCATGCTTCACTGTCATCCCTCCAGAACCATCTCCAGGGTGTGATAAAGGAAGGACTAGCAGTCTGCTTTTTGTCCTTTACCTCCACATAGGATTGAGTAGATAGACGTCGTACTGGTAGTCTCACAGGATCACTAAGCATAATTCCATCCTGTTCATACACCACGCCCTTATGATTACTGGTATCCATCACACACACATGTACCGTGTACACAGCTTCATTCTCTATGAATATCTATTTAAAATAGACCAATATCTTAAAGTAGCAAACTAATTAATTCAGACAGCTGTACATCCGATTCAATGAAACAGATATTTTTTTCAAGAAAAAAAAAATACATGAAAGTTAACAAATCACTATTTGAAAATTCCATTTCAATTTTCATGTTTGAACAAGCTATAGGGTGAAACAATATACGCCCATCCCATACAAATGTGGATTACATAATAATGAACCAAAGTGTCCAAAAGCAAATCAGTGCTATATATTTCTATGATAAAGATGTGGGTTGAAAACCGAAAAAAAATCGCTGGACAAGATTAAAATACTGAAAAAGAACGCAATATCTTTTTGGAATATGGTCAAATTCAAAAATGCTATTCATTAAGAAATACCTCATGATGTGGTTTTAAACCTACCAAGTTTCAAAGAATTTAGTCACAAACTGAGGGAAGAGATTATCTAGACAAAAGCGAAATATTTGATAGAAACAAAGGGTAAAAACACTAAAATCATCAAGGAAAACAATTTCATGTAATGTTTATAAATCTTACTGAGTTGAAGAGAAATTGGAATAATAAACTGAAGGATATCTCAAAAGGTTAATATCATAAAAATAACAAGGAACATTAACTCTTCCACATACAGACGAATTAAAACCATTCAGGATAACAGAACTTCATTTCATGGTGATTATGCCTACCAATTTAGATCTCCAGACAAGATAGACATTAAAACACAAGTGGCAGTGACAGTTCCAAATATAGTTGAATCAATCATGAAAACATGACATTATGTTGTGGTGTGTTTAAGCATAGAAAGTTTGAAAAAGATGGGTTGAAGCCTGTGGAAGGAGATCGCCAACAAATAGAAGTTTATGATGGACAGATGGATAAGCAAGACCATATCATAATACAAGCAGTCAAAATTTTTGACCGGCGTATAAAAAGAAAGGAACACACATGCACTTGTGAAAAAACAAATGTGCATCTTATCTCAAGAAAAAATCTGCTACAATAAACAAGGACTGTCAGAGATGGGCTATGCTACCTGATTGGGACAAAATTTATAAGTATATAAAATAACAAAGGGCAATAACTCCTTAATTATGCAAAAGAGAGTGATGGTTTTTGTGCACTGCACTTCTCCTTGCTGTGATCTATCTACCTATCAAGTTTTATGTTGATGCCTCTGATAGTTTTTGTGTTATGTTCCAGATGGACAGACAAAGTGGCGACTATATGTTCTCCCTTCGGGGAACATAAAAAGTAATATCACATTACACTTCTTTCAAGGTTGGCTATGAAGGAGAAAAATATTTACCTCAGCATCAATAACATCCAGATGATTGCAGAAACCTTCCTCAATTTCTGCACTGTATTCTGGTCTGAAGCTATGCCAGATCTCATCATGCTTGATCTGCCAGACATAGGGTGCTTGATCAGGGTGATGGTGGTGGCTTTTAGGACACAACTCTGAGCAGTTTCCTACCACATGCTTTACACAGAGAGGAATATTAACAGCATCATCATCCAGCCAAGTTACCTTGACATTCTCTTTATTTTGTTTTGATTTTTTCTTTGGTTTCTTGTTGCTGGATTCATTTACTGGCTCAGATTTTTCAGTCACATCAACACTACTTTCCATGAGCGTTTCTTGATTCAAGTTGAAAGAAATAACATCATCAGGCTTCTCTGTTTTGAATCTATTTTCTCTGGATATACCTTTCTTATAAGGTTTCTTGCTGATTGCTTTCATTTCAACTTCAATACGTTCAAGGTCTTCATCATCTGGTTCCTCCTTCTGTGTTACAATTTCTGTTCCTATAGATGCTTCCACAGACTGATCTACTAATACAGCTTTTTTAAGAAGCAATCTACTCTGAGTGTTAAGCCAGGTAATGTATTCTAAAGACTGTAACACCCATCTATTATGGTCAGTGTCAAAGGAATGACCAAGTGGACAGTCAGTCTCGTTGGTACACCTCCCTTTCAAGCTAAGACTGCACATATGTAGCTTTGGACAATTTTCCCCCACAGAACATGTGGTAGTTTTAAGAAATTCTGAGCAGATTCTTGGGTATCTATTGCCAAGAATAATCATCATCTCCTTGTCAGAGAACTCGAGAAGACCTAGCTTTTTTTTGTGTTCAACAATACTGGCATCTCTAAAATTGTGAGAATATCGACAAGTCTCGCCAAAAGAGCAATGTCCACTTATGTAACTTTTACAGATATGGAAATGTTCACAGTCTGTCTTTGAACAAATCTTGCTGCGTCCAAACAAGCCATTGTATCCCAGGCAAAGGGTAACGTCACGGTAGAAAGCCGATACGTACAAAATCTCTCCTTCCTTTTCAAACAACTTGAACCTACGCTTGTGACATCGAAACCATTTATTTTTGTCGAGCTCAGCTGGAATTAAGTCGCATTCCTTGACAAAATCCCCAAAAGCAATAAATCCACCACAGCTTTTAACAAGATAACTAAAAATCTTGTTTTCATCCACGCCTTCATCTTCAAAGGTTTCAACTTCCTCTTTTTTTGAGTTACTACGTGGTTTTCGCTTTCGTCTTCTTTTCTTTTTTGTGTCATCAAAGTCGTTGAGTCTCTGTCTTTGGGGATCCTGACTGCCAGCTTCACTTACAGACAGACTGCTGGTATCACTTGAATCATCAGAGTCACTTTCTTCATCCTCTTGATCTATTACCTCAATGCCTTGATGAGTTGATCCTCTTCTCCTTCTATTCCTGACTCTACCTCGATAATTTCCGCGACCTCTGCCATGATCTTGTCCTCTGTTACCATCTTGGGATCTTCTCCGCTGGTTGTTATCATCAACATGGGCGTCCACAACCTCAGGTCTGTTGTTCTGGTGACCTCCACCTCTACCTTGTCTGGGATAATCATTACGCCCTTGGTTGCAATGACTGTCAAGGTTAAAAGTATTTAAACTTGCTCCGACATTGAGGGAGCCAATGCTACCAAACTTTCTGTTTAGCCCTTCCATCCCTGACTGATTTGTGGAATAAGTACTGCCTTGACTGTAAACATTACCATTGCCTGAAGTTTTATTAAGAACATCAGTACTACCAAATCTCCTCCTCAGTGAACTTTTATCAGCAGGTGCACTACCTTTTCTGTTTATCTCCATTTTGATACTGGAATCACTATCCTCTACGGAGTCACCTCCCTTGGCTGCCCTTTTATCTCCTCCCTGTTTTGATCCCTTTCCTTGGTGTTTCTTGCCTGAATCTGGTATCATGGCCTTTCCCTTGTCATCTTTATTATGAACTGACTGTCCAGGACTACTAAAACCTGGGATTCCTTTGGCATTTTCTGACAAACCTTTCAAGTATTGCAGGTTATCCTTAAGGTATTTTGTATCTGTCTGAATGGGCTGTTGTTTTCTTTCTGCAAAGTCATCAAAATCGTATACAATTTAACATATGTGTTGTTTAACATTGAAACACAAAACACTGAACTTAACACTTCAACAAAACTAAAAACTGTAGGTTGTATCACTTTCCTGAAATGATGCCAACATTCAGTTTAAATGCCAATCTGAGTAAAATTCAAATCCTAATTCTCACTTTGACATTCTCTGCACTAGGATCTCACAACATTCTATAGGGAAGATGTCCTAATGACAGAATATACCTAAGTATGTTTTTCACAAGTGTGAATATAGATATCCTGTCAAATCTGTGAAATGTTATACAATACCCTGTTGCCCCTCACTACAATATACATACCCTGTTACCCCTCACTACAATACCTTGTTACCCCTCACTACAATATACATACCTTGTTAACCCTCACTACATTATACATACCCTGTTACCCCTCACTACAATATACATACCCTGTTACCCCTCACTACAATACCTTGTTACCCCTCACTACAAAACCCTGTTACCCCTCACTACAATATACATACCTTGTTAACCCTTACCACAATATACATACCCTGTTACCCCTCACTACAATATACATACCCTGTTACCCTTCACTACAATATACATACCCTGTTACCCCTCACTACAAAATAATTACCTTGTTACCCTCACTACAATATACATACCTTGTTAACCCTCACTACAATATACATACCTCGTTACCCTCACTACAATATACATACCTTGTTAACCCTCACTACAATATACATACCCTGTTACCCTCACTACAATATACATACCTTGTTACCCCTCACTACAATATACATACATTGTTAACCCTCACTACAATATACATACCTTGTTACCCCTCACTACAAAATAATTACCTTGTTACCCTCACTACAATATACATACTTTGTTACCCCTCACTACATTATACATACCCTGTTACCCCTCACTACATTATACATACCCTGTTACCCCTCACTACAATATACATACCCTGTTACCCTTCACTACAATATACATACCCTGTTACCCCTCACTACAAAATAATTACCTTGTTACCCTCACTACAATATACATACTTTGTTACCCCTCACTACATTATACATACCCTGTTACCCCTCACTACAATATACATACCCTGTTACCCTCACTGCAATATACATACCTTGTTAACCCTCACTACATTATACATACCCTGTTACCCCTCACTACAATATACATTACCTTGTATACATACCCTCCCTCACTACAATATACATACCTCGTTACCCTCACTACAATATACATACCTTGTTAACCCTCACTACAATATACATACCTCGTTACCCTCACTACAATATACATACCTTGTTAACCCTCACTACAATATACATACCCTGTCACCCCTCACTACAATACCCATTTACCCTCACTACAATACCCTGTCACCTCTCACTTCAATATACATATCGTGTTACCCCTCACTACAATATACATATCTTGTTAACCCTCACTTCAATATACATACCTTGTTAACCCTCATTACAATATACATACCCTGTTACCCCTCACTACAATATACATACCCTGTTACCTTTCACTACAATAACCTGTTACCCCTCACTACAATACCCTGTTACCCCTCACTACAATATACATACCCTCTTACCCCTCACTACATTACCCTGTTACCCCTCACTTCAATACATTGATAATATTAAATACAAAACACCTAACAAGCCTAAACTGATATTTTACCAAACATTATTGATATACTCTAGATAAGTTTATTTTATAAATCCTATCTTACTAAAGGTCACAACTTCATTAACATGTATTTTTGTGTGACATCATCTACTAGTCATTTTACCAAGTGGTTGTCGATGGCCCAGGAAGAGGTCAGTACCTGGGGGATGAAATGGTTTGCAAAAAGGCATTTCGAGCAGAGATGGGGGTTGAGGTCCAAAATGAGGGGTTGGGAGCAGAGGTATGGGTTCACAAGAAGGGGTCTGCATTCCATGATGAGGTCCACCTTCACTTTTTCCTTGACTTCTTCCAGGTCCTCTTCCACTTTGAACTCTGTGTTGTTTGGGTTGACCCTTGAGTAGCAAAGCAACATCAATTATCTTAAGCTAGTAATTCAAACATCAGTACAATATTACAACAAACTGGCCATGTAAGGTGGCATGAATGCACCAATATGCTGGTACATTGTATATTGTATTGACATAATATATTCTTTGCCAAAGACAGCTGACTCAAGCCATAACAGCATTATATAAATACTATGTTACAGGAATTCTATCTCATTGAGTGGGTTCTCTTCATTTGCCTCAAGCAGGACCAGGCCCTCTGTTGATGCACAGTTGATTCCCATATTTCCAGTCATGTTCTAGACCAAATTTAGTTAAACTTTTTTTTTCTCTATTAAAGAAGACTGATCCAAAGATTGACCTACCTTCCATTTTTGGGCCCTGTCCTCTTACCCAATAAGAGTCAAACTACCATTTACAGATAAATCACTTATATATTATTACCTTGACCAAATATGGCCTAACCAAATAAAGTCTAAATACTTGTATCTCTACAAAAAAATTCTACATGATTTGTATAAGACCTTGACCTCAGATCCTTTTTTATGACATGGAGTCCCTCTTCACCATAGAATGCTTTCACAGTTTCCATTGTCTACCATGAGGAGCCAGAATTCAAAGATTATCCCATTTTCCCTAACAGGTTCATTCCCTTTATCATCAGAGGAGGGATCAATCATTAATAATATTCAACAAAAGATGTTCCAGGCTAATTTTAGTGCCAATTTCTACATGTGCAGTTACAGATAAAAAGATTGTTAATATCTTAGTTGTTTCATCTTTTACTATTTGACTGCATATTTGCCTTAATCAGGGTCACAGAAATGTGTCAAAATCAGTTTACTGGAAACTGATCACATTCCTACTAGGCCTTTGACCTTTTCATTACTTTCCAAACTTTTACTTTGCCATGACCTTTCCTTTGACCCCATCCTGACTCTTCCCTTGACATTGAGGTTGTCACAACCATTACCAAGACCTCATTGTAACTCTTACCTTGACCTTGACCTAACCCTTACCTTGACCTTGACCTAACCCTTACCTTGACATTTTTATGACTCTTACCTTGCCTTTACTGTTCTGATGATGAGTAGATGCTTCCTCTTTATCTTTTAGAGATTTCTGGAAATTATTGATATGCGAACAAAGGATTGCACTTTTCCTGTTTGCTGTATTTTGGCTGAAGTGTAGATTTTTGATAATACTGATGGCATCATGGGGTTTTAGTGAAGTAAGTCCAAGGATTGCCCAATCCTCCAGTTCTTTACTAGTAAACTTTTCTACAAAACAAACAAATTTTGTAGTTTCTGACACAGTATTAATTTGAATTACTGGCAAAATGATTAAATTCATACACTGTGTGAAGTGTAGTCTGTCCTACTCAGTGTGAAGTGTAGTCTGTCATACCCTGTGTGAAGTGTAGTCTGTCCTACTCAGTGTGAAGTGTAGTCTGTCATACCCTGTGTGAAGTGTAGTCTGTCATACCCTGTGTGAAGTGTAGTCTGTCATACCCTGTGTGAAGTGTAGTCTGTCATACCCTGTGTGAAGTGAAATCTGTCATACCCTGTGTGAAGTGTAGTCTGTCCTACTCAGTGTGAAGTGTAGTCTGTCATACCCTGTGTGAAGTGTAGTCTGTCATACCCTGTGTGAAGTGTAGTCTGTCATACCCTGTGTGAAGTGTAGTCTGTCATACCCTGTGTGAAGTGTAGTCTGTCATACCCTGTGTGAAGTGTAGTCTGTCATACCCTGTGTGAAGTGTAGTCTGTCATACCCTGTGTGAAGTGTAGTCTGTCATACCCTGTGTGAAGTGTAGTCTGTCATACCCTGTGTGAAGTGTAGTCTGTCATACCCTGTGTGAAGTGTAGTCTGTCATACCCTGTGTGAAGTGTAGTCTGTCATACCCTGTGTGAAGTGTAGTCTGTCATACCCTGTGTGAAGTGAAATCTGTCATACCCTGTGTGAAGTGTAGTCTGTCATACCCTGTGTGAAGTGTAGTCTGTCATACCCTGTGTGAAGTGTAGTCTGTCATACCCTGTGTGAAGTGAAATCTGTCAGTCTGTCATACCCTGTGTGAAGTGTAGTCTGTCATACCCTGTGTGAAGTGAAATCTGTCATACCCTGTGTGAAGTGTAGTCTGTCATACCCTGTGTGAAGTGTAGTCTGTCATACCCTGTGTGAAGTGAAATCTGTCATACCCTGTGTGAAGTGTAGTCTGTCATACCCTGTGTGAAGTGTAGTCTGTCATACACTGTGTGAAGTGTAGTCTGTCATACCCTGTGTGAAGTGTAGTCTGTCATACCCTGTCATACCCTGTGAAAGTGTAAGTCTGTCATACTGTTGTGTGATGTGTAGTCTGTCATATGTGTGAAGTGTAGTCTGTCATACCCTGTGTAAAGTGTAGTCCTGTGTGAAGTGAAATCTGTCATATCCTGTGTGAAGTGTAGTCTGTCATACACTGTGTGAAGTGTAGTCTGTGAAACCCTGTGTGAAGTGTAGTCTGTCATACCTGGTGTGATGTTTAGTTGGTCATACCCAGTAAAATGCAAGGGTTTAAATGTTGGACCATAACACAAAAGTACACTTACTGCTTGATAAAATGACTGTTGCGAGCCCGTCATCAACTCCATGTTTTTTCAGTCGGTGGAAAAACTGAACATCTGGGTTACCTGCCATTACTATGAGTAGTTCTTTTTACTACACAGTATCTTTAGCTGACATGTCTTGGTTGTTAGCAGCTTGTATCTGTATGATAAAACCACCAATGTAAATAAAAGGAGCTGATAATTTTTGTAGACAAACACTTCACAGCACAATATGAATCAATATATGTACATGAACAATGCCTTAGGTGAAAAAATCCAGTTGTAAAGCATGTGAAAATGCTGTATGACACAGACTAAACCTGACTTTATCTCCAGTTAAGGTACACAATATATAGTAATTTTTTTTTGTCGTTTGTTTATCTAACTGTACCATTTAGGTAAAAAACAATGTTGTAAAGAAATAACCTGTTACCGATAAAAAGTTTTCATAAATTACTTCTACTAGAGCCAGTTCTCAAACATAACAATACATCCAAGGTCTTCACAACCAGCAATGTTTGGTCTTTGTTCTCTTAAAGTCAGACATTTTCTCTTCTTTTGTCCTCTTCCCGCTGTTCTTGCTCTTAACTATATGAAATATGAAAATTTCTCTCAAGAGATGTTGATAATAATCTTTATCATCAAATCCAAAATGGTTGCTTGTCTGCCATTTGGTTTTTCTTATCTATCCCAAATCAAAATGACACCAGGGATTAAGTGGAACCTTTCCATACATAATTTGATTAAGGTCTACCCAGTATTTCTCATGAAATTTACAATGTAACAATAGCAAATTTTCTTAGTTTTAACCCAATATGGCCATCTGTCAGCCATTTTGTTTTTTTAACGAGTAATAAGATCAAAAGAGCACAACAAGAGATCACTTGGAATCTACAGATGAAATTTGAGAAAAATCCTTCTAGTACTTCACAAGAATTGGTGATAACCTTTCTTAGTCAAAATTTGAATGTCCACCTGTCAGCAATTTGTTTTTCTGATCAGTACAAAAACCAAACTGGCACAACTAGGGACCTATAATTTTTTTCTATCAGGTCCCACCCTCTAACACCAGCAGGATACAGCCTCCAGAGAAAAACATCAGAAAATACAACCTTAGGGAGATAATGCCACAAGGATTTAGCCACAGGGAAATAACAACCAGCATGATACAATCTCACAGAAATAACACCAGCAGGATACAATCTCACAGAAATAACACCAGCAGGACATGTTCTCACAGAAATAACACCAGCAGGACATGTTCTCACAGAAATAACACCAGCAGGATACAATCTCACAGAAATAACACCAGCAGGACATGTTCTCACAAAAATATCACCAGCAAGACATGTTCTCAAAGAAATAACACCAGCAGGATCCAATCTCACAGAAATAACACCAGCAGGACATGTTCTCACAGAAATAACACCAGCAGGACATGTTCTCACAGAAATAACACCAGCAGGACATGTTCTCACAGAAATATCACCAGCAGGACATGTTCTCACAGAAATAACACCAGCAGGACATGTTCTCACAGAAATAACACCAGCAGGACATGTTCTCACAGAAATAAAACCAGCAGGACATGTTCTCACAGGACATAACACCAGTTCTCACAGAAATAACACCAGCAGGACATGTTCTCACAGAAATAAAAACCATCAGGACATGTTCTCACAAAAATATCACCAGCAGGACATTTTCTCACAGAAATAACACCAGCAGGACATGTTCTCACAGAAATAAAAACCAGCAGGACATGTTCTCACAGAAATAACACCAGCATCCGGTTCCGGTTCAAGATGGCGGGTTTTCGAAATTTCTCCCTGCTGGTTATAGGTATCCGTTTTTACCAAAGAAACACATCTGTGCCACTTCATAATGATGTCAGAATCGAAAACCTTGGTTTCTACGCCAGTACCGACCCAAATTATTTGCTGGCATGACTTTGCACTGAAAAGGCTTTACAATAAGGAGCTGGTAATTTTTTCTAACAACATCAATGAAACTGTCAACATCCTGTTATACCCAAACCTGAACTTATGTCAACAGAAATTATCTAACAAACCACTCAATGCAATAAAAGTTAAAATTCTACTGTGTGGAGATGTAGCTCTAAATCCCGGACTGATCAAATATCCATGTGGTCAGTGTACGAAGGCTGTTTGGTCCAACCAAAACGCCATCGCCTGTGATAGCTGTGATCGGTGGTATCACGCCAAGTGTATCCACATGAATACAACTACATGTAACAAACTATCCTCAAGTGATGCTTAGTGGGAATATCTTACTTGTGCTCTCCCTAACTTCTCCGACTCATTATTTGGTGATTCACCAGGTTCAAACACTTATCACTGTGTAACGAGAGAAGAGAGTTGCCTCCCTTCTTCCACTACACATGCTCAGTCTACTTTTGACTCTGACCAATTTGGGTGCTTTAAGAAAAAGGGATTGCATTTTATCCACTTAAATGCAAGATCACTTCTACCAAAGACACATGAACTGCAGATAATAGCTGACAAATCCAGAGCAGCTCTAATTGCTGTAACAGAGACATGGCTAGATAACTCAATTACAGATTCGGAGATAAAACTTCATGGTTACTCAGTTCTAAGGAAAGACAGAAGTCGCTTAGGAGGTGGTGTGTGTTCCTACATCAGGAGTGATCTTACAGTAAACCTTCTACAGCTCAACAACTGTTCCACGTTGAACGAAACTTTATTTCTGGAACTATTTCTTCCAAAATCCAAGCCCATCATAGTTGGTACCTGTTACAGGCCACCAAATCAGTCAAACTTCATTAACAATCTTGAAAGAACTCTATTTCATTTGAAACCCAACTGTTAATTGATAATACTTGGAGATTTTAACATTTGTTTTCTTAATCAAAGTACTGAAATGCAAAAATCCTATATAAGTTTAATGAAGTTATTCAGCCTTACTCAAATTATCAAGGAAGCCACCAGAGTGACTGACACATACAAATCTCTAATTGACTACATACTATGTAATAACACTGAAAAAATTACTTAGGAGTTTTGAACATTGGTCTTAGTGATCATTTTCTCACATTTTGTACCCGAACGAGCATGTATTTAATTCTCATAACTATGTCACTGTTCGTTGTATCAAAAATTATTGCAAGGAAACATTTCTATCATTACTGTCTGAGGCAAAGTGGGAGAGGTGTTTCTTTGCACCAGACATAAATCAGGCCTTTAATGTTTTTAGAGATCTGTTCCTGGAAGTTTTAAGATAAAGTGGCTCCAAAAACAGAAATTAGAATTAAACAACGCACTGAACCATGAAATATTAGATCTTATTGTAAAAAGAGATTCAAAATTAGCTTCTTTCAAAAGGCATAAAAGGTCAGAAAATTATAAAGAATTCTGTCAATTAAGGAACAAGGTTCAGAAACTTGTGAAGCAATCCAAAAGCAATTTCTTAAAAAGTAAAATTGAAGAAAACAAAAATAATCCAAAAAATTTGTGGAAACAGTTTAAAGGTCTGGGGAATGAAAAAAATGTCAAAGCTAACACGAAGTCTGTTCTTAAAATAGATGGTGAAACTTGTCATGATAATCTCACCATAGCAAATCATTTCAACAGGTATTTTACTACCATTGCTTCAAAACTTGTGGAGAAATTACCTACATGTAAAAACATTTTTCACTATACTTCAAAACTTTTCCATCAATTTTATAATGTGAGAAATCCTAACTATCTCAAGTTTCCCCTTCACCATGTCACAGAGGAGTTTGTTTTTAAGGAAATATGTAAAATTAATGTCAGCAAAAGTACTGGTCTTGACCAAATTTCTGCAAAATGTTTGAAGGATTCTGCACCTATAACCATGATTCCCATTACTTTTCTCATCAATTTGTCCATTTCTGAAGGGACTTTTCCAGACGATCTTAAGTTAGCAAAAGTCATTCCTCTGTTCAGAAAGAAAGCTCGTCTACAGGCAGAAAATTACCAACCTGTCAGTATTCTTAGTATGGTTTCTAAAATTCTGGAAAAAGCTGTATACAACCAACTAGAAAATTTTCTGGTTTCAAATAATTTATTGTATGAATTCCAATCAGGGTTTAGAAAATCACACTCTACTGATTCTTGTTTAATTCATCTTACTGGTTATATAAAATCTCGAACAGCAAAAGAGTTGTATACAGGTATGGTATTGTTAGATCTCCAAAAGGCTTTTGATACAGTGAACCACTCAGTTCTGTGTGAAAAGTTGAAGATTATAGGTGTTGAATCCTACAGTTGGTTTCAGTCTTATCTACAAAATAGATCACAATTGGTTCATGTGAATGGGGTAGACTCCTGATTGGAAAATATCCAATGTGGGGTCCCCAATGTAAACGATATGAAAATCAGTATTGACAACTCATGTAAACTCCTTCTATATGCAGATGACGGTGCAATCATTTTCTCTCATAAAAATTTAACTATTGTTTCCTCAAAATTATCTGCTGTTTTGGAATCATGTCACAATACGCTAGTTGACAACAAACTATCTCTTTATCTTGGCAAGACTGAAAGTATACTCTTTGGCCCCAAAAGAAAATTAGGTAAATTGGAAGATGGAGATTTCAAAATATCTTGTTTTGGACACAAAATTGGCTCACAATCTTCGGTAAAATACCTTGGATTGTAATCGATATATCCTCTCTGGAGAAGAAATTGTCTCCAATATTGTATCTAAAGTCAATCAAAGATTTAAATTTCTGTATCGCAACAGTGGCTGTCTCTCTCAAAAATCTCGTAAAACTTTATGTTCTGCTTTAATTCAACGCCACTTTGACTATGCCTGTTCATCTTGGTATGAAGGATTGTCCAAAAAACTTAAGGGAAAACTTCAAACTATACAAAACAAAATGGTACGTTTCATTCTTAATCTTGACTCTAAAGCTACTGTTTCCTTCAAACAGCTTGAAAAACTTGACCTGCTTAATGAGAGACAAAGAGTGACTCAACTTCGTTTGAACCATTGTTTTGATATTTTCGATGACAAATGTCCAAAATATAGGAGTGAATGTTTTACTAAAAACACGAAACATTTCGGCACCAGGTCAAGTAACATGAA